TAAAGAAGACATTTTAAGCTATTTAGATGCTCAGTTAACTTGGGGAATGACCCTAGTAAATAAACATGGGTTGACATGATGCGATTGGGAATATCAGGATCGGAGGATGATGTTTCCCAGAAACGTGGCTCACTCCGGACTTGCTGTCTATTCTGGAACCATTCAAACTCCCCGTGGGGAAGCAGAAAGAATGTATAATTGTTTTCTTTGTTCATACAGGGTGCTACATCTCACCATCTGGGTCAAAATTTCTCCAAGATGTTTGAGATTGTGTTTGAGGACCCCAAGAAGCCGGGTGAAAAGCAGCTGGCCTTCCAGAACTCCTGGGGCATCACAACCAGGACCATCGGTGTGCTCACTATGGTTCACGGAGACAACATGGGACTCGTACTTCCACCCAGGGTGGCCTGCCTACAGGTACAGTCACACAGAAGCTAAATGCACTAATGAGATTTACTAACAGAAATAAAGTGACGAATCTGTTGTCCTCAGGTTGTCATCATTCCCTGCGGGATCACTGCTTCGCTGTCGGAGCAGGATAAGGAGGCCCTTTTGGCTCAGTGCTCCAAATACCTGAGGAGGCTGCTGGAGGCTGGCGTCAGAGTGAAGACTGACCTTCGAGACAACTACTCTCCAGGATGGAAGTTTAACCACTGGGAGCTAAAGGTTTTTGATCATCTCCATTTTAAAACAATTAGCAATGAGAAAAAAGAAGTAGCTATTCTGTAAACTATCAAATAGTTCAACTGGTGTTGGTACCAGATCTGCACGGGGCCCCGCCCCTTCTTATGACGTCAATATATGGCAAGTCCACTCGGACAAACTGTTTTGCACCTTTTTCTTAAGGACTCTTTTGGAGTTTCAACAGGTTATTACCTATATTTACTATTATTTTACATTTCATTGGCGATCTAAAGTAGCTCAAGGTCAAAAACGATCATTGTCAGTCTTGAAGGAAAGTACTGCCTTCTAAAGGCCAATTTATGCTTCTGACGCATAGCCTCTGCAACCGTCAAATCTGTCTCTGTGCGCGACCACGCCCCCCATGCAGAGGTTCTGCAATCGTCGTCGCACATCTCAAAAAAATCCTGACTGCGCGTCGGACGGTTGCAAACTCGCGCAGACCTAAAGCGGAAGTGTGCAGACAAAAAGCAGCCGTGATTGGTCCTTGGTATGCCTTTCCGGCTGTCTGTGTGGTCAGCCTTCTCGATTCGGTGTTGGGGCGCGCCATTTTTAAAAACCGAGGAACAACTATATGGGACAACCTACGCATCCTCTTTTGTCTTTTCCATTAACAGAACCTGTTCCTCTTCGATGTCTAGCAACTGTAGATCCGTCTCTGTGACCGTGAAATCTTGCAGACGCCTTTGATCTTTTGGAAAATAAATACTCCTGCCGAAGTTCTCGTAACCATCCGCCAAAGTTCTCGCAAGTTCTCAAATAGGCTCCCCCTTTGGCAGGAAACTGCTGTGCGTCCCTAGATATTCCAAACCAACGGTGCAGAAGCATAGCAGCAAAACTGGATCGCGACAAGACCCAAGCGACATTTGATGTGTGCGGTTGCAGAAGTATAATCTGCCCTTAAGACTGAGCTCTGCTATTTAACAACGTGACAAAAAAACTCTCAGCTTATTTTTAATCTTTTTATTAAGATCTGAGGGCAGAGGACGACAAATGGAACATCCTAAAAAATGACTTTTGCAGAGATTTTAGATGAAGAAAACAGTTATTCTACTTGTAGAAAACAAGCAGTTGTTGATACGAATTCAAAAGTAGCGTAGCTTAATATGGCTAACTGAGCGAGCTAAAAGAGCACAGCTGACTACACCCCTACCCAGCTCTCCCCCTTTATACCACGGTCTAACAGTAACTTTGTTCAACATAAACATTTTTTTTTTTTTGTTTTGTTATCGGTCATGTAAAACATAATCGGTCATTTGACACACTAACGGACACTGCGTCATGTTATTATCTTTGACTGGGCAACCACTGTTTTACATCATGTGGCAATGTTCAGCCAATTGTGTAGCGTAACGTCACTGGCATGCAAAGGACCTGAACAGATCTGGTACCTACACCGGCGCTAATCATGTCCTGTTGGTCTGTTTGTTTTGTGCAGGGAGTTCCCATCCGTCTGGAAGTGGGTCCCAAAGACATGCAGCAGAAGCAATGCGTGGCGGTCAGGAGAGACACAGGGGCAAAGGTGACAATTCCAGAGGCAGAGGTGGAGAAAAAGCTGCTTAGCATGTTGGAGGACATCCAGAACAACCTGTATAAGAAGTAAGGAACATGACTGGACCCCTGCAACATTACAACTAATATACATATGCAGCGTGTCAGCAGCTCAGAATTAGACTTTTTCACCTTCCTTAAGATTACATTCCATCTATAAAAATGTCTTTTTGTTCACCAGAGCTTCGAACGACCTGAAAACTCACATGGTGGCTGTAGACACAATGGAAGAGTTCCAGAAAGAGCTGGACCAGGGCAAAGTGAGTTGTGCTTGATTAGATTACAAGCTTTTCTTTACTTCCTATCCAGTCTGGAAACAAATTAATTATATGTGAGCTTTAAGGTTTGGTTCAATATATAGGGAAATATGTGCTTTTTAAACTTTTTTCCTTGTATCCATCCCTCTGTCTACCCGTCCATTTGTTTTTCTGCCATCTTTTTTTAATCCATTTGCTTCTAAACTCTTCTATGAAACCTTCCATTCATTGCCCTATCAACCAAGCAGCCATCCTTTTTTTTTTACCCTTTATTTGTCTTTCTGTTCATTCAGTTTTATTTTTTTTCTACCTTTCCCACCCTGGTCTTAGATTTCGCAGGCTCCATATGTGAAGCCGCACCATTGTAGAAATATTTGTAATTCGTTGCGAACATTTGTCATTTTCGAAAACCGTTAAAAAATAAATAATAAAAAAAGTAACAGGATTTTAATTTTAGAAGTATTTGAAGACTAAGTGTCTCCCCCTCCTCCTCAGTCAGTGATGCATTTGTTTGTTTCATAGATTGTTCAGATTCCTTTCTGTGGAGGAATTGAATGCGAGGATTGGATCAAGAAGACCACTGCCAAGTATGTGCAAGATATTTTGAGTGTATATCAGGAACTGAGTCACTTCCTTCTTTTGTTTAGGAAAATCTACAGAATTGATCCTTTTTTTTTTATTATTTATTCAAACTAGTTTATTTATGTCAGATCAGTCAGAGTTGACCTTTTCTCACCCTCACAGGGACCAGGACCTGGAGCCTGGAGCTTCATCCATGGGAGCTAAAAGCCTGTGCATCCCTTTCTCCCCTATCAAGACCCTTCAACCGGGACAGATGTGCGTCAGCGGCAAGGAGGCTGCACAGTATTACACTCTGTTTGGACGCAGCTACTAAACACCTTCCCAGTAAAAATTGTGTCCTTGAACAAAAATGGCTGCCCTGCATTCTCTGACATGTTTAGCCTTGGGGCGGGGGGAGGTCACTTGTATGGTTTAAACTTAAAATCTGTTTTATTTGTTTTCTACGTTGTAACGATTTAAGGGAAGTTGGGTACCTAGAAGATGTTAATTTGCAATAGGCATAAAAGTTTTACTGTATCCAATGAGCCCTGTGCTGGAATCCATTAGTGAGTGTCAAAGTTTTGGTTATAACTTCTGACTGTAAGGGGTTTGGGGGTTTTTGAAATCTGGAAAACGCTAAAAATAAGACGTAGCAATGAATGGAATTCTGCACTTCTAACTCACTTGCAGATGAAGTGTCTCAGGAACATGTTGAGTATGAAGACTTGCAATGGGAGTGTAATTCCCACTGGTATGTCAGCTTTGCTGTTTGTCCAGTTCCATCATGTTGGTTCAATGGGATCTTCTGAAGCCTACAAAATGAAATAGCGATATGGTGAAAAGTCAACTATGTAGCTGCCTACCACTTTGGTCATACAACATGTCTTTGCAGTCTGTATAATAAAAACAATTTCCACAGCAAAATGTCATGTGTTCCTTATAAGTTGGGGTCATTAGTCCCGGTATCAATAAAAGCCTCATTGGGAGACTAATGTAGGTGAAGTCAATTTTTGATATATTTCCAAAACTTTGCTTTTTTATATGTGTGTAATACTTTATGGCTTCTTGCCATTGGCAGAGCAGTGACTTAGTCTTCTTGTTAGCACTTATGGAATTTGTCTTATTTGAACCATAAAAGCGCTTTAAATTAACAAACTATGAAAAGCAAAAAATATAGTTTGAGTCTAGTTAAACAGGAGGAATGAAATTGTAAAGGAAGCTGTACAAAACGAAATTTCATTTGTATACTCTATAAAATGATAAAGTGTCTAAGTCAAGGGGAAAATAAACCGCTGTGATAATGAGTGCTTTATTAAAATCAATATTTTAATTTTTTTTATTATTATTTTAAATGTCTATAATTTTTTTTAGCTTGTTTGTAAAGTTTTGTCATCTGTTTTAAAGGTTATTTCGGGGTAAAGTTGAATTCTGTACTAAACATCAGCCCTTATTTTGAAAGCCCGTAGCGGAAGTTGCTGTCACTTCCGGTTTAAATAGCTTTCCTTTCGCTGTCAGTCCGTACAAGGCTCAGGTGTGTAGAAACTTCTTTTCTGTGAAAATGAGCGACACCGGCTTGTCAGAGGCAGCAGTAGCAGCTTGTAAAGATGGAGACCCTTTAACTAAGGTAAGCAGACAGTTGTTGGGGTGAACTAACCAGTAATAAACTAACTCAACAGGCCAAACACTTTGACAGGTTAACCCGTTTGCGCTGCGTCCATTATCGGACATATCCCTGTTCCTAAAGGTGGTTAATTTTTCGATGGATATTGAATTTTGTTTATTAGGTCATGGTTGGGATGGGGAATGCTAACTGCTAGCTGCAAAAGTGTTATCAGCCATTTAGCTTATTTAGCCTAACTTAGCTCAACGTTGGCGTGCCCTTTTCTCGCGCGGCGATAATTTATCTGCTAAACTTGTCTGAAGTCTTGTCTCGCGTCATGACCGAGCGCGTGTCCGCCGAGCGCGCGCAGCAATCAAGAGTTCATTATTAATTGCAACGACGGGATGTGAACTGGTTCTACCGTCGCAGATTGTGTCCTGCTGCTGACTGCGGGAATGAAATGGACGGGAGTGGAGCTCTGTCTGCAGGAACAAGTCAGAACTTGCTGAAACTCCAACATGGAGGCTAAATTTTCTTCTCTATTTCACAGAAAATTCCTTTAAAACAGTGAAGCAGTCAAACTGATGGATAAACATGCCAGCAATTCCCAAATGTATCCAAGCTAAATATCTTTGAAATAAACAGACTTTTTTAGTAACTATCCTTGCAGGTTAATTAATTCTAGCATTAAATTTGACTTGATACATGCAAATGTGATTAATTTTGTTGCATTTATTTACTGGGGTTGTGTAAGACCGATACACAAAATGTCAGATAATTATGGTGGGAAAATAATGCAGTAGACACTAAAAAAAATGTTGTGGGTATGTATTTTGGTATTTCTTTGGCAGCTGAACTGTTAAACATTCTTCACACTCATTTGTGAATATTCCTCCAGGCTTTCCACCAGTCTTAGGTCTTTACTTTGATTCATTAGACCATTCAAACAATATTTTTAGATCTGGTTGCACTTTTAGTCCCGTTAGATTTTCATTTTCTCCAAATTTTTGGAGGTTCCCAGTTACTTCCACAGCCAGGGGGCCGCCAGGAATTTGGGGCCCCATGAAAGAGATTGATGTTGGGCCCTCAATTCTCCCAAAAAAAAAAATCAATCAAGCTTTTAACCTGCTATAAAGATGCACTAAAGATAATCATTTACATTGTCAATGTAATCTTTTTAGTAATATTTCTACCAAGGAAAATTATCAGAATGGTATACAATAACTTTAAACTTTACATTTACATCCTATCAAAATAATAACAGCATATTTAAAACAAAAAACACAGCTGTATCTATGTACACATGAATAGAAAATAGGTTTAGGATTGAGAATATATATTCCTATTAGGTTTCACTATAACTTCATTAAAGGACAGATTATTTTTATGCTGGCCCTGATCTGATCCCAGTTTATTTTTCACTAATCTGTGCTTGTAATGACAAACCATGTATTTTTTTTTAATGTGGCAGCTTCAGGCTGCTCATGAGAATGATCAAGATTTATAGATGTCTTTTAATTGTTGTAATTTAACCTAAATATAACAATCAAACTAAACAGTTTTAATATTGACACAGATTTTATTTAATGTAAATATCATGTTAAACATCTACTAGCATTTAACGAATGTTAAACCTCTGATAACTACGGTGTTTTCCTGTTGCCTGGTCTGGTTGGTAGAGGTAAATTCTCAGCTCTGGGAGATTTCTGTCTCAGTTGTTTGGCCTTTTTGTTATTTACAGACACACAATGGACTCAATAATTGCTGGATTAATCCTGTTTTTTTTCTTGAAAATTTAAAACGAATCAACAAAATAATAATAAAAAACTTACAATCCTGCTCTGTTTCAGACGCACCCAGTCTCATTAATGATGTGATTCCCCTCCGACATTGAGGAAGAATAACTAGTTGTACCCAGCAGATAGCTGTCTTATTTTACTCAACAGGTTAATAATCTATCGTTAATTTTAACTATTCAGTTAAAAAAAACCTTTCTGAAAAAAAAAGAGGGCGGAAAAACTGGGTCAGGGTATCGGACAGCTTCTCTCTTCTCTTTCTCCTTCCTTTCTCTTCCTTTTTGAAATCCAGACTTTGGGGCCCTGCATTTTTCAGCCATGCTGCTATGACTTTTTATTTTACACATTTTCCTGTGCATTTGTTTCTTTCATTGTCTCTACGTCAAATGACGTGCCTGTAGCATTTAAGCCCCGGTACAAATGAAGACGAGGAGACCTGATGCCATGCAGCCAGGATGCGAGAACCAAAAATGTATTGCAATTTCGCGAGGGGGGGGAGTGACAATATATTCATGCTTTGTTTCACTGTTTACTGCTTTAAAAATAAGGGAGAACATGAAGATAAGTTATCTTACTGCTGGATTTTCTTTTTATATTTCAAATAATATAGCGGGACAAATCTTTTCTTCTTCTTTTGAGCCCCCACCCCCTCAGTCAAGGCCCTTATAATCATCCTAGAATCAACTTTTCCCCCATACGGCGCCCCTGCCCACAGTGTTCATTCTCCGATGATGGATGGAAGTTCAGTCAATCATTTCACAGCGTTGTGAGATTTTCAAAGCTGGGAATAATTTTTTCATAACATAGCCCTGCTTTAAACTGAACTGAGTGGCTGAAATATAATTTAAAAAGGACACTTTAAAAATAAAAAAGAACCCTGAAAACCATTTATCTGTCTTGTTTGCTGCCATTCATAAAATTCCAATTTTAAGCTATGCTTTTAACTTAACCTGTAGAAAAGCTCAAGCGGTGTAAATACTTTAGCAAAGCAATACTATATGGTTTTTCCCCCCAGTAACAGTTGTTCAGAAGGAAGGGAGCAGGAAAGAGGAGAAAGCCATAATCAGCAGAGATAATGCTTGTCTGTAGCAGACTCTGACAGCAGAGGGGTTTTGTGCTTTCAAAGAGACGTTTTTAGGGCAAAATGGAGGCAGCTTTTTGTTTGACACAGTCTTAACAGGATTTGTATCACCAGATTAGATCTTCTTACATTAGCTTTGGTACATCTGGTATCGGATCTCATTGAGGTTTATGGCTTCTGCATGTCTGAAGCCCCAGAACTGAGATTTGCACAACACAAGCAGCATTCATGTACTTATTACTCTGCATGGAAGTTACCGTAAACAAGCATAAAGAGACCCATATTGGATTACTAGTGTGAGCTGTGATGGTGAGTTTTGGTGTTATGGATTTATCTATATTGGACAGGCTTCAACATCTTGCAACTCTGACCCACTTCTAAGATAATGCATTTAAATGCAAGGACAGAATAGATGTTTGTTTAATGCATTCTGGTTGGTTCCTATTTAAATGTAACATGTTTAGTCAGAATATAACCGCTGCCTTTAACTGCACTGATAACAGCCGACTATAGAGGGGTGCATTACTCACTTGCACTAAAGACAGAATGCAGTAAGGAAACTCTACAATAGTGGGACGTTTCTTGGGGATTTTAACTGGCTTCAAAAGGGGAAATGATTAAACAATGTTTGGTTTATTTTCCTTTAACCTGCTCTGTTGGAAATTTGCTGCGTGCAAATCTAATTTGTTAAATTTCACGGTTTAACAAAAATGTATTTATTTTTTTAATAAATGGAGGCATTGCTTTGTACATGCATGTAACATGATGCTGTTGAATATGACAAATGCTCAGTTTTTCCATGTAGTTAAGGTTTAGTTTAGAGTCCTGTCAAAGTGTTGGTACCTGCTTCTATTACATTTTGTCATATTTCAACTACAGTGAAGCATCCACAACATTACCACTAGGGGTGTAAATCACACCCATCATGGCAATTCAATTCAGTATCAATTTCCTGAGGCAACAATTCGATTATTTTCGATACTCAAGTATCCTCCACGATACGTTTCCATTCGATTAATTTATTTTTTTTGTTTTGTTTTTTTAACCTTACAGGATAGACAATGTTTCAAATTTGAAATAAATCAATGAAAGCCGTAATATTGTTATGCATTTTATTTGTGAAACAACAGTAAAAACCTGAAGTAGCAAAGTTATAATCCATCTAGGCCTATAAAAACGTCATTCACTGAAAAAAATAATGCCTCTGTGTTATAGATTCTGAAAAGCCTTGTATCAGAAAATACTGCTATGAGTGCATAAGTGCACTAGCAGATTAAGTAACAAAAATAGGCCTATACTACATTCACTATAGAATAACATAGTGGTTTTATGGAGCCCTGACCTGGTTGGGCTCCGAGTATAAATGTTTGCTGTACTTTATCATTTTTGTTTATGTAGAAAATCCTGAAAAGGTCTGCTAGAAGGATTCACTATTGATTCAGAGCCTCAGACTGCTTCAACATTAGTTTGCTTCTCACCATGACTGGCTGAGCTGGTTGTAGTTGTTGTTGGAAGTGATATATTTTTGTCTTTGTAATGAACCTCTAATTTTATGGCTGTTTCAGGATTTTATGATGCAGCAAACTATGCTGAGGGTGAAAGATCCAGTTAAGTCCTTGGATTTCTACACCAGGATCCTTGGCATGACGTGAGTTTGGGTTTACAAGCTGGGTAATTAACTTAAAAAGCCCTGCTATTTTTATTAAATGTGGCAAAAAGTGTTTAACAGTTGTATATGTATGTTTTAGTTCTTTTCTTCAGCTCATGTTTGTGCCAAATGACTGGTTTTCATACATGAATCAATCCGGCCTTATGAAGGTTTCTCTCTGCTGTGTTATATGTTGCAGGTTACTGCAAAAGTTTGACTTTCCCTCCATGCGCTTTACGCTCTTCTTTTTGGGCTACGAGGACAAGAAGGAGATCCCTGCAGATGTGAAGGAAAGGACAGCCTGGACCTTTTCAAGGAGAGCCACCATCGAGCTGACACAGTAAGGATGATGATAGAGAGGGGGGGGTGACACACTGGCAGTAACGCTTCTGACCTCAATTCTTCAAAAAAGGCTTTGAGTTTTGTAGTACTTTGGCCATAATTTAATCAAACTAAATGATTTAATGTAGGGTGAATGCCATAGTCGATGCAGGAGTTTTAATGTATGTTTCCAGTAGTTATAAATGAAGTCTATAAATGTTATGAGTGCTTAAGGTGTTGATGATTTAAATTAATCTCATGTAATTTTACATTAAAATCCTGCAGCAGGACATACCAGATGGTTCTGAGTTATGAATCAAACAGGCTTATTTTAATGTCATCCTACATTCAGTAGCTCCACAGCAGCACTGTGACTTATATCTAGTAAAAACCCATATGTGTGTGTGTGTGCTGACATCAGAGGGAGAACCCTTTAGGAGCTAGCTTAGCATTCTTTAATGGAGATGGACGGAAACACTGATGATTGTTCCAAAACAGCTAATCTGTGGTTGAAACATCAGCCAGTTTAAATTCAGGAGACAGTAGTGATGCTGAGGGACAGGGAGGAATTGCACCTTAAAGTTGTAGGGAAGTCATATTTAAATGTCAAATCATAAATGTACTCTTTATCAGACGATTATGTCCCAAAAGTTAAAACATTTCTATTTTTAACAAAATCCTGTCTTAAAATCAGTTGTTGTTTTTCTTCGTTATCTTATGCAGGTCAGCTGGTTATACGTCAGCCTGAACACCTAAATTCGGCCAAGCATATGTCAACGGTCATCTGTCAATCAAATTTTCGGTCATAGCATATGTCGCAGCTAATATACGCAATGGTAGAAATAAGAAATAAGAATCATTTCCTTTCCCACTGAGTTCCGTCCCACTGTTCACGGGGATGGACGTCTGTGTCTTCAGCAGGCGTAGAGCTAACAGAACTGACAGCGTTGCGAGGCAAGGTCTCAAACATGTACGGCTGTAAGCCTTCTACACCAAACCAAGCTTCTGCCGCCCTGGCGTCCTCTTCCACAACATCTTTGTCCCCGCTTTCTTTCTCTAAATAAAAAATGTATGATGGAGGAGACTCATCCATGCCCTCAGACACTAAACTCTCCTCCTCTTGCATGTTTCCTCTGTCCATAGCGTTCCTTGACAGTGTCGTTTCTAAGTCACCAATTTAATGCTACTTAGTCCCAATGGAATTTCCCATTGGGAACCTACTAGCACTAAGTTGCTAACTGGTTAGCAAGATGCCTCTGACAAACCGGCCATAATCATACTTGCTTGCCACCTTCTGCTACAACAATCCCGCCCCCTTGATAAACGACCAATCCCATTCACTTGTGTCGGGCATGTCTCGGGAAAATTTGGAAATGCAACGTTTGGAACAGCCGCTTCCCTACGACTTTAAAGTATAAATAAGTCTCTGTACTTAAAGCTGTAGTTTTTGATCTAATTGTCTTGATTAAAGCTCAAGGTGAAATCAAACTAAACAGGAACATCTTTGATATCAACTTTTTCTGTTTTTCTTTCAGTAACTGGGGTTCTGAGTCTGATGACAGCCAGTCTTATCACAACGGGAACTCTGATCCACGGGGATTTGGTAAATTGTCCTACTTCTACAAAAAGCATAGATTAGAATCCCAGTGGACGACCAGCTTTCTCCTGGTTTATTTTCTTAAAGATGTCAGACTAAAGCATCTTGGTTAAGATTTGTATAAATGTATCATTTTAGCGTGATAGGGATTAACCCTTTCTGCGTGTGTTTTTCATAGGACACATCGGTATTGCAGTTCCAGACGTTTATGCAGCTTGTAAGTTGTTTGAGGAGCAAGGAGTAACATTTGTGAAGAAGCCAGATGATGGTAAGATGGAGTTGAAAATAAACATCTGTCCAGTCCCTACATACCTACAGTAAATATTTGAAGTTTTAATGTATTTATCAGATTGAGGTTACTAAAGGAAATGTTCCTTTCCTCCTCCTCAGGTAAAATGAAAGGCCTGGCCTTCATCCAGGACCCTGATGGATATTGGATTGAGATCCTGAGTCCTAACAACATGGTGTCAATCACGTCCTAAAACAGCATCCTTCCTGCAGGTTTACATGAGGCCTGGCCTGCTGTGGCTTCACTAGGAGAGCGCAGCAACATTAGGAAACGTGTGTGAAAGAGCTGTGAGTCAGTGGATTGAGAACGGTTGGAGAGGCAGTAAGGATACCCCAGCATGGCTCAGACGAATAATGGACTGATTAGACACGACTTAATGCAATTAAACATATCTCTACTTTAGAAAGTTGTTGCTTTTTCTGTCATCATCTTGTCCGAAGCTCAAATAGTTGAAATTACAGTGAAATAAAAATAAAATCCACAGCTTAAACTCTGACTTTTTCTTTTTCATTTTAGGGATTTAGACATGAGAAAACATTCTGTCAGCTAAGATGATGGGAAACTGAAAAGGCTTTGTGTTAAAAAATACCTTATGGCTTTAAGCAGCAGAATTCATTTTAGTAAAAGATTTACGGCTAGCGAAAATTAATACATTAGTGGTTTTCAGATGGGGGTGGGGGGGCTGGGATGGTTCAAATTTTTCATAATGATTTTACAATATTTTCACAAATAAGTGAAATCATGATTAGGGTGACTCGTATCTAACAGGATTTTATTTATCTAAAAGTTAGCATCTTATCCCTCTGTGTTGGTTTGTGATGATATAGTTGTAGTACTTTAACCCTTTATAGGGCACTCAGTGCAATACTTTTAAAATCGTAATTCCACTGGAAAACAATCTAGAAATAAGTAAAGATTTCTTAACTTAAGTTTATATACCCTTAATTTGAGTAACATTCAAAATATTGATAGCAAAAATTTATGTAAATTCAATAACAAGAAATGTCTGCTTGCCCAAATATATTAAGAAAAATAAAAGTACTTCTATAAGAAATCATGAAAAACACTCGGAGTGAAGGAAACACATTTTTTTTGGTCCAACATAACCTTAGAGGCATTATTGCTGAAACTGACACATTTTTGGTTTATAAACCTATGATTAATTAGGCTTATTAACTTTTTAACTTTATTTTTCAACTTTTCAATGAGCTTTTCACCTTTTTTTTTTCTTGACTTAACGTTTTTTTTAAACTTAATTTCCAGTTGGTAATACCGGTATATCATTCAAGGACTCGTCTTATTGGTCAAATGCCAAAATAAGATGTACAGCCATGTAGCAGCATCTTTGCTGAATGGCTGGATATAGATCTTGTTCTTCTAGACCTCACTGAGGGACAGGGGGACTACATTTGTAAGGGGTATGCAATTGATGAAAACTGGTTACCTGCCCTATAAAGGGTTGAGTGTTATAAACCATAAAAGATGACTTTCCCTTCGATCAATTAGTTTTTTTTTTAGGAAAGCATGTTCTAGCGTTGCAGAGCCAAACCAAATCCCAGAGGTCCAAATTTCAAAGAGAATCCTCCTAAAATAGAATAAAAGGTTACTCAAATTTGCTAGTTCTCTACACTGCTTCTTCACCCCAAGTAACTTTTAAAAACTTTCAAGAGAATGGATTGAGTTTCCCCATCCTTGGTAAGTGGTTCCTTTAGTTTAGCTCTGAGCTATCATTATTACTGTTTTGATTCACAGTGTGATAAATCGTAAAGCAGGCTTTTAAAACCGTTTAGAATAAAGTAAAGTCCCATAATTATATTTTATTTGTGCTGCAGCTCTCCAGGAAAAGCATGGTTGAAGTCATCATCCTGCACCACCTTCCTTATAAAAGGACTTTTTTGTCTTTAAAACGAGGAAAGAGAGAACATAAAATGCTAAAATGAAAGGGATTAATAAACATAAGAGGGGCAAAAAAAAAATCTTCTTCTTCTCCTGCAGAGAGGGAGAACAGAACAGAAAACATTTCCGTTACATGTAGCTAAAACGTTTAATTCGACGCAACATCACTGAAAAAAAACAACAACCCTGCATTATCTAAAAAATGTTTTCGGGGGCAATCAAGGCAAACCGAAGGCTTTTATTCTATAAATATGGAGTGTATGTGACAGTGCCTGCATGTGTAAGGTTTCTCTATTGAAAATCAAAAATGCTCAAAAATGAGGCAGATATGGGGGACATCTGAATGGACCCCCACAGCCCAAGGAGGACCAACACTGGCAGTCATAAGCCCTGTAGAGCTGGAGTCTCTGCTGGCTGCTAGGATGGATCCAGCCTGAGGCCATGGCCTATCACCCCCTGACTAGAGCAAGGGGGTCCAGGCCCCACCTAGCAGCCATCAGGAGGGAGACGGCGCACAGGTTGGCTAAAGGTGCCGGAAAACCTGGACCTTATTGATGCTGGACAACAGTGCTACAACTAGTGCCACCGTGCTGCCCATGTTTGCAGATATGGAATAAGTTTCATTCATCAGTTTATATCTGAGAATTAAACTTGTTTATGTCTAACATTAGAATTTTTAAAGTTGTAAAAAGTAAGCCCACACCTGCTTGCCCTACTAATTGGGCTACTATTTGAGGTATGTGACTTTTTAATCAATAAAAAACTTTCTTAAAGGTTCCCAACAGTGAATATGGCTATAAAGCGATGGTCTTCAACAGGAGGTCCGCGACCCCTAGGGGGTCCACTGGGTACCGCATGGGGGTCGCAAAAGTTTTGGTTGATTAGACTTTTTTTTTTTTTTTTTTATATTCCCCTCTGCAATTTTTTCCACTTATTGAAATGTCTTACAATACACATTAACATACTGAAGTAAACAGATAAATAAATAAGCTGGGCACCGTTTCATTCACAACACCTGTCCCATCAACCAGGAATCAGAAATAATTTAATAATTTAAATAATTTAAGACTATAGGACCAGTTTGATATAGCACTATACTATATATATATATATATATATATATATAAATAAAATTAGGGGGTCCCCACTCCATCTCGCCATCAGTTTGGGGTCCTTGGCCTGGAAAAGTTTGAGGACCCCTGCTATAAAGGGATCCTGGCTGATCTCTCTGTGACGTTCTTTTTCTATGTTGGTCTTTGATTCAATATGACTCACCATTTAGGTGTCATATTGTAGGATCTTTGTTGTTTCATCCCATCTTTCTTTGGTTATTTTAGCATCCCTAAAGGTTATCTGATTACCCTTCTTTCGTTTTAACCATTCAACAGGCTTCTCAGTAACATATTTCTCTTTGTACAAATAGGCTATTAATTATTTGCATGACCAAAATACTTTTTAAGCTCAAAAGTGTGTAGGTGAAGGCTTGTATCTGATAGTTATCTCAAAGATAGAGCAGATCACACATGGAATAGATTGTTTTCGACATTTACTGGAAACTATAAATGTGTTTAACTCATTCTCTCTTTTTACGGTCTTTGCCATTTTTCCTTGTAGGGTTCTGGAGACAGGCCCTCTGCAGGTGTTATGTTTTGCCCTTTATGTTTACTAATGGTTCCTGGAATTTCTAAAAGTAGAATGGGAGCCAGATCTTTTAGTTATCAGGCTCCTGTCCTGTGGAACCAACTACCAGTTTTGGTCCGTGAGGCAGACACCCTGTCTACTTTTAAGGCTAGGCTTAAAACTTTCCTTTTTGATAAAGCTTATAGTTAGAGTGGCTCAGGTTATCCTGAGCTATCTCTATAGTTATGCTGCTATAGACTTAGACTGCTGGAGGACATAGGGACCCCCATTTCATCATTCTGCTTCATTCTATCTCTATTCTCCAACTCTGCAGAATCTATTAGTTCAATCTCTAACGTTCTGCTCTCTCTGCTTTCTCTCATAGTAGCTTCATCTGGTCTGTTCCTGTTTGGCTGTGACTCCATCCTGGAGAGAAATATCAGCTGTGCTGCTGCCATCAACACCTTTGTTTATAGATGTTTGAGATCGGCCTGTTTTTCGGTGTAGTCCTGTTTCTCTGACTGTGACTGGCTGGATGTGCTCTATTTCATCCTCTGACATGGGAGTTGGCTCAGAGCTTGTCTGCCTGGCTGTGTGTTTCCTGGATGGGGCCGCCTTTTACAGCTGCTTCTTTCTGTCTGCTTCTGTCTCCTTGAACCCCAGTTCAGATGAACCCTCGGCAGATGGCCGCTCACACTGAGCCTGGTTCTGCTGGAGGTTTCTTCCTGTTAAAAGGGAGTTTTTCCTCTCCACTTTCGCTACAAGCATGCTTAGTGTGAGGGATTGCATTCGAGTCAATGAGTCGATGCAATCAACTGGTTTTCCTTAGATAGAAAACTTTGAGTCAATTTGAATGTATGATCTGGTGATCTGTAAAGTCATTGAGATAAGGTGTTGGGAATTGGTGCTATAGAAATAAACTGAATTGATTTAAATTGCCCTGATTGCTCTGTTGCTTTAAAGCTGCCATGCATGCAGCAGAAGGAGGGCTTTTCCTCTCCCCCCTCAGAACCCCATTTGGTTTGGTTTTTATTGGTTTGGTCGGGTTTTGTTTAGTCTGTTTTGTTTAATTCTGTTTAGTAATGGTCTTTTCATAATCTATTTTGGTTTCTTATTTCAGGTATTCTCTTTCTAGTTTTTTTTTTATTATTTATTAAAGATCATTTAATAAATTAAAATGTCTTTTAATCAGAAAATCCCACCAAACAAGCCTGGTGGATGTAACGCGCTGCATATCACTCATGCATCGATTCACATTGATCTGGATTTTCTTTAGCTTGTTATCGGATCCGCTTTTTGCCACTAGAGGGGGCTCTTAACCAAGTTTAAGTTTTAGGCCAAGATTTTAACCATTCATTGCTGCCAGTTCATCCATCTCTACATTCCCTGCAGGTTTTCTATTTAAATCCTTAAATACCTGCAATATATGTACAGTGATTCTGTGTATGTATAGCTCCTGAATGGATTGAGAACTCTAAAATAAATTGGAATTTTGACATAAAATGTGGAGGAGGAACTTCTCAATTAATTGGAACAAATGTATATTAGGCCTTCCTTCACAATCTGGAGACCTCTAGTAATATTTTTTGCTAGGTAAATGTAAAAATGTTTATGTGTCATGGCTGTGCTGTTGTGGTGAACTCACTGCTAACAGCTGCAGGCTGTTCACTATGAAATCGTAGGATCAGTCCACTCTCCTAATGGCATCGTTGATTTAGAAAATAAGCAATGTTCTGTTACAAATCCAATGGTCCGACCTCAAATTAATGTTTTTTTTTTTTTTTAAAGAACCATGTTATTAAAAAAGAAAGATATTTTTCTGCTCCAGTAGAAGATCTTTTTTATTCCAGGGACAGAACTGGGCCTTCGGTTCAGAACCAGCTTTAATGACCAAACTTTTTTGCATCAATTCAACAGAACTTTGTGTCTGTCAGCGGACGGATATTTGAGTCTAGACTAAAAAATATCTTTTAA